TTGAAGGATTGAGGAGATACTTTGAAATTGATTCGAAAATCATACCAATACCGTCGCAATATTTGTATACTAAAAAGACCAAGTCGTTAATAATAATATAATACTAGTACTGCGGTAGTAGTGAACGGTTCTAAGTCAATATTGTGATAATAGCAACTCCTTTTGCTGTGTTGGAAAACGATCAAGGGATTAGAGGAATATATGTGGATATTTAGGGGTTATTTGATTTAATTATCCACCAAAACACAAAATTTTAAATTTAAAATAAATTGTATTCTAAAAAATTAACCCGAGGGACGAAAAATTATTCTCAGCTTATAATAATTAGTATTTAATATATTTTTTAAAGGAAAGAAAAATAAGAGCCAAAATTATTGAAATGTTTTATTACGGGGAAAAACATAGTGGACTTCAGTCAAAGATTGCACGGGATCTTGGAGTAGATCGAAAATATGTTCACTATACTATTGAAAGGTTTAAAATGTATGGAACAATAGAGAACATTCCATTACCAGATAAGAACTACCGTAGAAAAAAGGATGAATTTTCAAGTGATAATTAAAGTGATATTTTGGATATTTTTCGATAAAATGGCAGGTTAACCTATTTTATAGGGAACCGATTTTGATGTTTTATTTATTCACTTTTTGTCACCTATTATGGGTATTTTTCGATAAAGTATTATTTGTAATAAAAATTCTTAACAAACTTAAAATTTTCAAAAAATTTTATCAAATTTTCTAACAAACCCAGAAAATTTTTTAAATTTTTTGAAAAATATTTTTCCAAGAATTAAAAAATTTTTTCTCAATTATTAAGATGGTGAAAAATAGTTATTAAAATATCTTGAAAAAAACTCATATACTCTTCAGAAATTCATCCAAAAAATTCGGATCATCTAAAAAACTCAAATCTAACTCATCCATATCATCCTCTTTTTGAATATTATTCCCATCTTCTTCTTCTTGAATAATTCCTTGATCTAACTGCACGTTCTCTTTGGTAACCAATGGCTCTTTTCCGTTACCTTCACCATTATTACTCATTGTATTATCAAGAGAAGTTCCTTCCCCGTTATCAAACAGACTGTTTGCCGACTTTAAACAATCGTTTCTTAAACCCTCTCTTTCATTCTTCTTTTTTAATCGGTATTTTCGATTCCGTTCAAGTATCTTTTCTTTATTATTTTGATAGTATATCTGATCATGTACACGCACAGATTCTTTATTATTTTTATAATAATCTCTCTTATATCCTTGTAAATTTTTCTTATTCTGCTGGTAGTAATTTTTATTTTGTTCTTTTCTCGTCAACTTTTTTTCTGGTTCGTCAATTGGTTTTAATAACTCTTTATGTTTTTGAATTTGAGGAGCATCCGATGATTCTGCACAATCATTTAATATTTTATTTAGATCATTTCTTCTTGATTCATTTTCTAGCCGATTGTTCTGATTAACAAAAGAAGTCGGAGACGGTTGTGTCGGACTCTGCAAAAATCATTTTCTGCTGCCCTTGTCTTTATTTTCTTTGATTTACGGATAATTAACTAACTTAATCCTACAAAATCTCATAGTGTATTAAGATATTTTTCTTCACATTTATCGCTTCAATCCACAAAATCTATTAGCAAAAATTTATATGAAAAACAAAAATCTTCGCGGGACTTTATCACAAAATTATATTCGTTAAATTTTTATTTAATTACCGTGAATATCCTTATAGAGGCCCATCCATAATAGAAGCTCATGCCCTAATAGAAGCCCGTGCCCTAATATAAGCCCACCCGATAGGGGATATTGAAAAATATAAGCCCAGGGCTTATATTAGGATATTTACGGTATCTGTAAATAAACTATTTTTAATGATTCACGCCGCAATGTAGATGCTCAAAGCTGTGATCAACTCAAAGGGAAGAAAGACAAGGGAGAAGAATGCAGCAGCAAATGATTTTTGCAGAAATTGAACTTTTACCGTCTTTGGAATATCCAATTCATTCCCTTCCCCTCTATCAAATTGTAGTTCGTTTTGTAGAATTTCTTTTTCATTTTTCCGCTTTAAGCGGTATTCTCGTTGATATTCTATCAATTTTTCTCTATTATTTTGGTATTGTTTTTTCCTATAATTTCTGCGTTTTTCTTTGAAAGTTTCATTTTCTTTATTTTTTAAATACAAATTTCGTTGCTTTTCAATTATTTTTTCCTTATTTTTCTGGTAGTACTTTCGTATAGTTTCCTTTCTTTTTAACTTTTTTTCTTCTTCATTATTTCCACTTGGGTTCTTCTTTGTTATTTTTGGTTTTATTTTTAATGTTTCTTCATATTTTTGAATTTGAGGATTAACCGACGATTCAGCCCCATCATTTATTTTATTTAAATCTGTTGAGGTTTCCTCAACTCTATTCAACTCATTTTGATTTTTATTATTTTTAACAGAATTAATTAAACTCCATAATATCGAATTGAAAATTAAAAAGATTAAAACATTAATAAATTTCATTCTAAATTAATTTTTAAATCTGGAGTAAAAATAAAATTATTAACATAAATTTTTTAACGTTTTATACAAAAATGTCAAAATTTGTTTTTAATTTAAAACCGATATGACTTTTTTTGAAAGGCAAGACGCGCACTAAAAGTATTTACATATATCCTTGTAAAGGTCATTAAATCTAGTTATACACTCAGTTCCAAAATTACCAAAATTATTCAAAAAATTTCGATACTTTTTCAATGAGATATGATAAAAAATAGAGGTGACCTTATAATTTTGGAACTGAGTGTTAGTATAATTAGCAAATCCCTGATAGTCTTTTTATTAAATTCAATGTAGAGTGTTTTTAAATATTTTTAATATGTTTTAAATATTTTTTTTAGAGTGAAGATAAATAAATTGAGAAATTAAATTACATCAGGTCTAGCAAGCATTTAATTATCCTGATTTCATTAAATCAGGGAAATAATGTAATAAAGACAAGTTACGTTTAAATTGAAGTTTAAAAATCAGTTATTACTATGACGTAATAATTAAGAGATTCAACTTTAAATGAAATTTTGCTCAGACTAACAATTCAAACAATTGTTTAATAAAAATAAATTTTTCAAAGTTTACTGACGGAATCTAACTAAAAAATTTAAGAGTGTGTTTTTTGGTCATCTCATGTGTTTTTAAATATTTTTATATTTATTTTAAAATTCAAAATATTGTTTTTAAATAAAGAATAAGTTCATTTTAATTTCTCATGTTAATATTCTTTAAATTCAATGTAGAGTGCATACAGTCTTTATTATCCTTTCATAAGATTTTATAATAAAAAGAATTTAACTGACTATGTATTAACATTTAATATTTATAAATGAAAATGCTCTGATCGGAAATTAAAGAAATCATCCACTAATTGATAAAATTAAATAAGACACGCAGGGATATGCTAATTATAATAACTTTAAAATTTTAAAGTATTAGGATTTGTGTTTAAAATAAAAAATTGTATCTGTCGTCAAACATTGGCGACTTTAGGTTTAGAGTAATAACTTAGATTTAGTCGTAGACTTAGAAAAAAGTCTTAGACTTAGAATATAAATTGTCTTATTTTTAAAATTTAAATTTTATTTACTTTTAAAACTACATAATTTATAGAGTTTAATTAATTCTGTTAAAATAATAAAATTCAAAGGGTTTGAAGAAAATACATAAATGTTGCTGAATCATCAGCCGATACTAAAGATCTTCAAAAAAGATGATTGTGAAAATAAAGGAAATGATCCGATTGTTTACAAAGATAACATTCAATTAGCTCAAGGCTAGGTCTCCAATTGAAGCACGGTTTCTAATAGAAGCACACCCTTCGATCCCTACGAGAGGATCGAAAAATAGAAGAACCCGTCCTTCAATTAGAGAATTTACGGTATATAATTTTCTCAATATTAAACATATATATAATTTCGCCTTTTACACTTTTGGTGTGCCAAAATCAGATCCCCAAGCTTCAATCTTGCATTCATTAATTCCTTGGGCAATCATAAATACTCCATTCTTTCCCCATTGTTTTCCCCATGAATTAATAGCAAGCCAAAATGGTTGGACTTTTCCTGAACATATTTGTTTTCCCCAACCAATGATACGAATTGAGTGTGATGATATAAAGTTTCCATTAGTCCTCTTAAATTTAATTAATTATACTTAAATTTAACATAAAAATATATTCTTATGATCAGCAGTGGATAGACTCGCCCTTCGAGCGAGTCTCTTCGCTAGCCTAAAACAATGCAACCTCTTGCTATTTTATCACCTATTGCCGGAATTTTATCTAAACTATGATCTAAACTATAGTGTCATTAATTACGAAACTCTTCTCACGGTCAAGAAAAAATTTTTTTCTATCAAGAACTCTTTTCATTCAAAGGCAGCACATCTTATCTGCACATTCCTGGACTTTTATCTACACTTTGCTGGAACTATTATCTACCCATTGCCATTATCTATCAATTGTCAGAACTCTTATCTACCCATTGTCTGAGCTCATAAAAATTGCCAGAATTTTTATCTATCCATTGGCAGGGTAAGGAAGGTTAAGCAATATATTACCTTATATACTCCTTCACCATAATGGTAGAAATCAGAATAAACATCAATTGCTCCCGTAATTGTACCGTTTGCTTTAATTTCATCCTTCATTGCCTTAACAACCTCAGTAATTTTCATATCCCCTGGAATCCCTCCAGTCCATATTACTAAAGATATTTTAAAATTACGAGTATAAGTACTTATAAATACCAAATTTTTTATCATTTTTATATGGAATTGCCCATTCTGAATTGGTACATTTCGAAACACATTGAGTTGTATGAACTGGCCCATCAGTTTCTGGATTGATTGAGTAGGGCTTACACCCAGTTTTTTCTTCAAAATTTGATCCTGAGACAACACCTTTATTTTTCAAGTATTGCCAAGCATCCCATGGAGCTCCTCCATTACACCTATGTTTTTATTAAGTAAATTTTTTAAGGCACTAACCCGTAATTTGGTAATGTACAACTAAGAATTTCCTCATCAGATGATTGATTATCAGGATCAGAAACTGGCGTTTTTAAGCCTTTCTTAGCTCTCTCAATACAGTATCGATCAGTAAACACAGATGAACTTGCAACTGCCCAACACCCCGAACATTGGCCCTGTTCTCTAATAATGTTAATTATATCTGCACATTGTGGCCATTGTTTTCTTGAATCAAATTCGATATTGTATTTACAGGAGGGATTTGAACGCTTTGATCGTATTTTGCTCATTTTATTAAAATCCGGTATAGCTGCAGGAGTCTTGGGTGATTTTGACTTTAGACCACAATATAATTTTTTAACGTCTAATGTCATATTTGCAAATTTTTCGTTTATTTTTGCCTGAATAAAATATTAAATTAAAACATATACTAAATTACCTTCCAAGTAAAATCAAGTAAATTAAATGACTCAACAAAAGATTCAAGATCTTTATCAATATCAAAGTCAAACTCAAAATCTTTTTCAAATATATCAAATTCATCAGATTGAAAAGTATTCTGTCCTAGACAAAGTAAAACAAAGGTAAGAAGAAAATGTTGTATATTCTAAAACAATTTGAATTTGGTATATAATTATAATCATTTTTAAACAGCTGTCAATAATTCCTTTTCTTAAAATAACCGAATATAAGGATTGGCTAATACAACCAGAAAACCATCTTACTTTAACTTTACTTTTCCTTATCCCGTTTTTTTAGTTGATAAGTAAATAAAGAAATACATATATTTATATTAAATTTTTAAATAAGGGGTTTAGGGCACGTCGGGTCCTCCCTTCATGGACGGACCAGACCCGATGCTCGGCGTTTAATTACAGAGTTATTATCTGGTAATTAATTTTAATAAAGCTTTTTAATTTATTCTATAATGACCTGTAACGTATATTAGATGAGGTTTAAGATTTTAACTGTATTTTAATAAAATAACTAACCATGTCTTAATTTAATAAAGCAAAAAATAATTAAATAAAGGTTGGGGGTTATAATTATTTTATTCTTACAATGTATATTAAATAATCCATTTAAAGCTTAATCCACGTATTTTCTAACAAGCATTTTAGAAATTTAGAAAAAAGATGATCAAATAATAGACATACAAGTTGCCACATGTCTTTTAAGCATATGAAATATAGTCGCTAATATGTATAGAGTGGCATAACCCTTCATCGAGTGAGATTTCCTCTCATTCCCGAAGCCGAGGCGTCTTCAAACTTTTGAGTTATTACGCGATGCGTTTGCCTTGGCTATAAATATCTAATTTAAGCTTATTACGCCGAGGCTTATATGACTTACAGGGTGGGGTAAATATAAAAATTTTATAAAATTTTATTCAAGCTAAAAACTTTAATGGCTTTCCACATTATGTGTTAGCATATGAAAAAGATTAATCAATATTTAATAAAAACCGAAATCCCATTTTGGTAAAATATTAAGCATGTTTATATAATACATATATCTAGCATGTGAATCCCACTTTACCTCAATATTTTGACGTGATGAGGGATATCGTTTTGTACCGTTTGTGTGATTTCTGCTGTGGATGAGAATGAAAAAAAAGAAAAAGAAAAAAAACTTTCATTCAAGAAAAAATGAATGAAGTATAGGGTATTTTTAAGAATTTGCATGGATTAATGGAAATTTGGGGAAATATTGGAGGATTTCGATGTATGTATCAAGCGTTATATTGGTATATCGGTGATTTGATATCTAGGGATCTGATGTTGTTAACGATACTTCGAAGAAATTCGGGGATCAAAGGGAACCATGACCGAAGCATGATTTTTCAATATTGTTTGTATATTTATATACTATTTAGCAATATTCTATTAATTCTATTAAACATATTTCTACCATGAATTGATAATTATTTATGTCTGTTTCGTTTAATTTTTGAAATAAAATATTTATTTCCTACTCGTATCTTTAAAGATGCACTTAAAGTGTTCGGAAAAATGTCCTTCAAAATAATTTTCCCATATTTTGATATATCCTTTCGAGACGGTATTTAGCAATATTGACCTTTTATTTACTATGAAATACTTTCATTATAAAATATTTAAATAATACATGGATATACATAGATATCTGGGAGTTTTTATATTTTTTAAATTTTTAAATAAATTTACATTATTATTAAAATAATTTTTAAATTAATTTATAATGAAACTGTTAAGTGTTTTAATCTTTTTAATTTTCAATTCGATATTATGGAGTTTAATTAATTCTGTTAAAAATAATAAAAATCAAAACGAGTTGACTAGAGTCGAGGAAACTTCAAAGGATTTAAATAAAATATTTAATGATAGGGCTGTATCATCGGTTGTTCCTCAAGTTTTAAATTGTTGTTCCTCAAGTTCTAATTCTATAACTAAAATTTCAAACAATGAAACTTCTGAAGATATTGATGAAGATAAAAAGTTGAAGAAAAAAGAATATATGAAGAATTACTACCAGAATAATAAAGAAAAGAAGAGGGAATATGATCGAAATTATAACCAAAATAATAAAGAAAAAAGACGAAAATATAATGAAATTAATAAGGAGAAGAAAAGAGAACATAATAAAGAATACTACCAGAAAAACAAAGAAAGGTTAGATGCAAATCGGAAAGCAAATCGGAAAAATAAAAATAATAAAGGAAGGAAAAGCGATCAAGGGACTTCAGTTGTAAATCCGCAGAATATAGAAAGTGAAAATAAAGGAAAAGAGCAGATTGTCTCAAAAGAAAACCTTCAGTTAGAGCAAGGGGTTATTCATGAAGGAGGTAGTTCATTTAATTTACAAATGGATAATTGTGAAGATAATTTAATGAATTTCCATAATGTTCAAGAAAATGTTCATGATGAGCAGCATAATCAACAAAATACTAATTTTGATGATTTTGATACTATGAATTTATTGGAAGATCAGAATTTTTTGGATTATTTGAATGAAATTCTTGGATCTGATTGATAATTTTTATATTGAATAAATACAAAAATGTCTTATTCTCTTTAGTCATTTCTATTAAACTTTTTCTTTCAGTGATCTTTAAGTAAATATCAAAAATTATTTTACCGATTATTGATTTATGATTAAAGAGAATTGAACTCTGATCCTTTCTTTACACAAAAGATTGTATCTAAGCATTTCATCTTATACTTTCCGAGATTTCAATGCCAACGTATTCAAATTTCTAAAATTTTAATAATTTTATAGAATATGTTTCTTTAGCTTGATGATTTAAATAATAAAATTAAATCCTTCATTTTATATTATGTATATTATTTCATATTTTTTGAGATAGAGTTGATATGTATTAAGTATTCTTTGCTACAGAGATTTAGGACAACGTAAAAATACTTGTTCGCACGTTACTGCGAAAAAATTTCCTTTAATAGAATGCCAGGCAATTCCTTCTTCAATAACCTTCCAATGGGGCTTACTATTAGAGCGGGTAGCCAACTGGAAGGGGCAATGCATTCGAAAATGCGAAAAAATTCTCTGCTATCAAACTCACTAGCAATATAGTTCGGAAAAATACTAGAATCAAATTCGAAATCGAAGATAATATTTTAGATTCGAGAATTATTTTTTTAGAATAATCCAAAATTATTTCATTCATATCCTACTTTTATTATTTTTTATAATTTAAATTTGGGATATAGAGTGTATATTGAAAGAGAAAAAACCGCATTAGTTTGTTCGATGTTTTTTAGCCGTAGGGATTGAATAAAGTGGATTTAGGGTAATGAGAAATTTTTTTCTTCGCAGATTACTACGAGAAAGGAATAAAAAAGGAAAAGTAGCTAAAATTTGTTCAAATGACGGCGGATTTGATCGACAAAAATTTAGTAAAGGCTTTTCCCCCTTTTCTCATTGATTTATTTATTAAGCTACCGGTCATTTTAAGGCGTCATTTTATTTATTGAAAAGCTCAAAATAATTTATTTTTGATTAAATTTAGTAAGCTAATCCAATTTTATTAAATTCCTCTCCCATAATGAGTCTAAAAATTTATTTAATTAAGATTTCATTTTTATGTTTTTTTGTAATTTCATCACAAATGTATTACTGTACTACAATGTTTTTTACCATCCCTGAAATCCCTGAAACCAGGCAGGAATTTTTTGATAAAATCGTTTCTGATTTACAATAAGGATATGTCCTAAAGCATATGTTTTCACACAGATAAAGCCCGCCGCGGCCTTTTTCAACCTCGATGTGTTAAGTCCAACCCCCCTACCAGGGGTGTGCTGAAACGGATTTTAAAAAGCGAAACGCGAAAGGCGAAATTAAATTTAAAAAGTGAAACCCGAAACGAAAAGTAAATTTAAAAAAGCGACACGCGAAACGCGAAAGGCAAAAGTCCAAAAAACGCGAAAATCCGCGAAAGGCGAAACGCGAAATTCTTAAAATTTTTACTATATGATAAGAAATCTCTAGAGATTTGTCAACTCAGTGATCTTACAATCCCCATTAGGATTTCGGTGCGCATCCGGTATATCAAGGGATTTGAGGGAATATCAGACATAAGCCAGGTTCGATACATGACGAATAGGCGCGGCCGAATAGGCGCGGACGAATAGGCGCGGCCGAATAGGCGCCGAGACAAATAGGCGCGAGACGAATAGGCGCGGGACGAATAGGCGCCCGAAGTTATTTTTTCCTAGAAATTTTTTGTTTTGATTTTTTTGTTCTGATTTTTTTGTTCTGATTTTTTGTTCTGATTTTTTTTGTTCTGATTTTTTTTGTTCTGATTTTTCTGTTCTGATTTTTTTCTTCTGATTTTTTGCTCTGATTTTTTTCTTCTGATTTTCTTCTGATTTTTCTTTCTGATTTTTGTTAATTTTTTTCTGATTTCATATTTTCGCCTTGTTTGGACTAAAGACGGTTCTATGAGAAGAGGATTAGAGATCGGCAAAATCGCATTTCCGGGATCCCGTAACGGGATTGAGTTTGAAAATATCGAACAGGAGGGATCCCGCGGGATTAATCCCGTTAATCCCGGTAATCCCGTTCTCAAATTTACCGGGATCCCGCGGGATTTTCACAAAAAAATTTTTAAAGTATAAATATGTTGAATATCCGCGGATTTGGTGACCATATTGTGGATTTAGACGGATTAAGGGAGTATTGAATAGCTATCGAAGGATTAAAAGGGATATCAGTGGATTAAGAGGGATTAAGAGGAAGATTTAGTCGGATATATTTGGATTGATAAAGGGTGATGTCAACAGATCCACGATATACCTCTTAATCCATAAATCCCTTTTACGCTCTATTTTCCTCCAAATCCTCTTAATACTCGTAATCCATGCACCACATGCAAAACTTTTCGAATTTTGGAAGGAGAAGCCGACTTTAGAACAGAAAATCAGAACAAAAAATCAGAACAGAAAATCAGAACAAAACAACAGAACAGAAAAATCAGAACAAAAAAACAGAAGAAGAACAAAAAAACAGAAGAAAAAATCAGAACAATAAAATCAGAAGAAAAAATCAGAACAAGAAAATCAGAACAAAAAAATCAGAACAAAAAAATCAGAACATAAAAACAGAAGAAAAAATCAGAACAAGAAAATCAGAAGAAAAAAATCAGAACAGAAAAATCAGAACAAAAAAAATCAGAACAAAAAAAATCAGAACAAAAAATCAGAACAAAAAAATCAGAACATAAAAACAGAAGAAAAAATCAGAACAAGAAAATCAGAAGAAAAAAATCAGAACAGAAAAATCAGAACAAAAAATTTCTAGGAAAAAATAACTTCGGGCGCCTATTCGTCCCGCGCCTATTCGTCCGCGCCTATTCGGCCGCGCCTATTCGTCCGCGCCTATTCGGCCGCGCCTATTCGTCCTGCTCCGGCCAGGTTCCATCCTTTATTTTTTATTCTATATTTTAGGATACTAAGGTCGCTTCAAAAATATACTAACCTCGCTTCCAAAACATTTCCGTAGAAGTCCGCCCCTACTTTATAATTAATCTCCCAGTTTTCTCCAATGTGATTTTAAAATTCTAACTTACCGTAAATGCTCTAATACAAGCACACTCTCTGAAAGAAGCACACTCTCTAATATAACCACACCCTACGAGAGGATCGAAAAATAAAAGCACACTCTCTAGCAGAAGCACACTCCCTAATATAAGCACACCCCTAGTATACCGGCTGAATAAAGCACCAATAATTTTTTTGCCTACAGTAAGTAGGCATATATAGAATTAGGGGATATACTTTAGCCGGTGGCCCACTCAGAAACGGGTCAAAATATATACCATTCGATTCGTCTCGGCGAGCTGAGTCGAATGGTACCATTCTTTTTTTGCGGAAATTTCTACGAGCCGAGATATAGGTACTTAAAAATCGAAAAATCATTTGAAAGAGCTCGACAAGCTGAGTCGAATGACACCAAAATCACCGGGATTAAACAAGTTTAGACATAGTTACAACACAAAAAACTAGCAATATAAACCTATGGCGCGTCGGCGAGGCGCTTGTGCAAAACTCCGCGCTTCGCGCGGAGTTTTGCGGCACGCCCCTCGCGGGGAGTCTACGGGCGGTGGGTCTGGGCTTGTAACATAACCCTATTCCTATCTCCCTTGCTCTGGACGTATTTGGTGCCTCCGTAGCAGCAAAAATCTCCACAGATGCCATAGGTAAGGAGCTAAAACAAATGCTCATAACTTTGTCAAATCAAGTCGGATTTCGTTGATTTTGGTGTCAATCGACTCAGCTCGATGAGCTCTTTCAAATGAGCTATTATTTGCATATTCGAATTTTTCACCCCAAAAAAGTGCTTGGTCCCCCCTTTGGTTTTTCGATTTTTAAGTACCTATATCTTGTCTCGTAGGAATTTCCCGAACAATTAGAGTTTAGCTTGAATGGAAGCTAAAGCGTATGATGGAATTCTTAAAGAAATTGTTAGGAAATCTTTTAAAGTGTGTGATTTTGAATTAATGAACGGGTGGTTCTTGATCCGCGTGATTCGTGATTTAACCTACGGTATCATGCCTTCAAAATTTTTAAAAACTCCACATTCTGGATCACGCAAAATATTTTTATATCCTGTGGCTTGTGCTTTCGACTAATATAAAATGTTAACTTTCCATCCCCGGACACACCAAGCCCCTGACGTTGGGGATGCAATCCTAATTGTAACACCAGGACTTATCTGATGAGGATATTAACCATAAAATTTTCGAAAATGCATGGCAAAATATTTTTTAATATAAAAATTAAGCTAAGAAGGCGATTATTTAATTAAAATTTAATTGCTGGTTTGTCTTATTTGGAGTATAAAACTTCCCTACAAATTTGAAAAATAGATCGAAAAATACAAGCACACTCTCTAGTAGAAGCACACTCTCTAATATAAGCACACTCTACGAGAGGATCGAAAAATACAAGCACATGTGCTTCTATTAGAGCATTTACGGTATATAATCAATTAGAAATTAAAAAAATTACTTCCACAGAAATATGTACCGAAATATTTTTACAATTATTCTTCCCTTTATTATCATCGAGAACATATTTGCTTCATTTTGTGGCAAATCAGGTGTTCCCTACAGCCTTGAAATTCTCGCGAATGGTGCACCAGTCCTTGGATGTGCCCAGCCAAGTTGTGTGATTTCTGCGGTGGATGAGAATGGAGAATTTCAAGAAGACAGTCAATTTCTTACGGATGCAAATGGACAATCTGATGGATTTTTCCGCGAAGGGGATAGGGCGGTGAAGCGCTATAGACATCC